CAGTTGCATCTGGTAACTACCGGAAGCTCTTCCAACTCATCCGAGCCACTGGCAGCAAGAAGTCTGGTGTGAGCGAAACAATCTGCGAGAATGATGGGATTCCAATCACCAACATCCATCGACGTCTTGGATGATGTGCAGAATTCTTCGAAGGACAGTTCAACTAACCTCCTGCTCCGGTAACATCGGTCAGACTGTCCTGCCCTCCATGGTCGGTGACGACTGATCCACCAAATGAGGCGGAAGTCCGCAAGGAACTCCAACTCTTGAAGTGTTTCAAATCACCTGGCCCAGATGACTTACCTCCGGTTCTTTTTAAAGATGGTGGTGGCTTTCTGACTAAGGAACTGACGACGTTGTTTACAAAGGTCTGGGAATTAGAGAGTGTACCAATGTCATGGAATGAGTCGATAGTTGTCCCTATCTTTAAAATGGGTTCATGTCGTTCCTGTAACAACTATCGAACGATAAGTTTACTTCCGATTGCATCCAAGCTATTGGCTTCCGTCATACTTCGTAGGTTGTTCAAAACCCGAGAAAGATTGACTCGCGAGGAGCAGGCTGGTTTTCTTTCTGGTCGAAGATGTATTTATCATGTCTTCACCATCTGCCAAATGTTAAAAGACCGTCATACTTATCAAGGGCCAACAATCATAGTGTTTCTTGACATCAGGGCTGCCTTCGATTCGTTGAACAGAACTGTTCTCTGGGATTGTCTATTGAAGAAGGGTGTGCCTGAGAATTTTATTAACATCCTAAAAGCCCTATATACAAATACCTCAGGCAGAGAGGGCATACAACCACCTTTCTCCATAAGTCCCATTCAAGCAGTGGGGTTAGACAGGGTTGCCCAATCTCACCATTCCTTTTCAACTTTGCCATCGATGACATTCTGGAAACAGCTCTGATGGATGTAAGTAATGGCGGTGTGGATCTGTCGCATGGACAAAGACTTCTCGACCTTCAGTATGTAGATGATGATATTGTCTTACTGTGCAATAATGCCAAAGTCATGCAATCCGCACTTAATCAGTTAACAATCAGTGTCCGTAGGTATGGTATGTGCTTTGCACCTTCGAAGTGCAAAGTACTTCTACAAGACTGGCAGGATTCTAATTCTGTACTAACCCTGGATGGTGAGCAGATAGAAGTAGTCGAGAAATTCGTGTATCTTGGTAGCTGCATAAGAGCTGGTGGTGGCGTGAGTGATAAGATCAATGCACGTACATTGAAAGCCAGAGCGACTTATGCCAATCTGGGTCATCTTTGGCGCCTTCGTGATGTTAGTCTGGCTGTAAAAGGTCGGATCTACAACGCGTCGGGGACAGCAGTTCTGCTCTATGCTTGTGAAACCTGACCTCTCCGAGTTGACGATATTAGACGACTCTCTGTGTTTGATCATCGTTGTCTCCGAAGCATTGCTGACATCCAGTGGCAACACCATGTTAGTAATGCAGAGGTTCGGCATCGTGTGTTCGGGTACAGAGATGATAATTCAATTGGTGTCACCATCCTGAAACATTGACTTCGGTGGCTTGGACATGTTCTACGAATGTCGTCCCAGAGAACTCCACGTCGTGCACTATTTGCGGACGCTGGGACTGGTTGGAAAAAGCGGTGGTCAGTGTATGACATAGTGTCGTGGTATGAAAGAAAACTGCCAAGGGCTGGTTTCTGTTGGTCGTTCACGACTCCCTGGTTTTTGGGGTCCGAGAGATGGTGCTACACAGTGGCTAGAGACGTTATCAGATATGGCTCAGAATAGAAGCCAGTGGCGATCGTGCTGTAACCTTCCTTTACTTTCTTTATAAAAAATGGTTGTTTCTTCCTTAACTAAAAGATTTCTTCTGATTGTACCTTTACGTTTCCCCCATTATTACTATTATTATTACACTACCTTACACTAATCTGTTCGTTATTGTTCTTTTTTTCTCTTCGAATTCTCATTATTTTGTGTGGCGCATATATATTTGGTGCCCTCTTGTACCAATATTTGTGTTCAAATAAATAAATAAATAATCCATAGTTGTAAATAATGAATTAAGTACCATTCTTATGGGGAAACAAATAACACTATTCCGAGGTGGTTATTGCAGATGAGAATTTATGAAACGAAGTGTGAAAACTACCTTCTCCTGCTTATATAAGTATAGTCAGAGAATGAAATGATCAAGGATGATGTTCCTAAATTTAATGTTTTTCAATTCTAAAAACAATCTAAGTACTCTCAGTTATATAAGTGAGGTTTAATAAAGATAATTGAAACGCAACATTACTAACACATCCTTTCAGCCAGCAATCTACTTATTTAAAATGTTCTGCAAAAATTTGCCATGTTTAATATTCGAAAACTGAGACTTTTCGTATAGCGATGGTATTTTTTAGGCTGATACCATACCATTAAAATGCAGTTCACTTTCTCAGTAGAATTACACAACTAGGTCACTTGTTTCTTGATACTCGAATATATTTCAGATTCAAGGATATGCAACAAAAAATCGGAAATTTGATAGATTTTAATGGCCTACAGAAACTTGACTAGAAAACATTTTACTAGTAAATTGGATGAAGCATATGGCAAGGTCAATATGTCTTTAGTCTGACTCTGTAAAATAACCATCGGATATCAATGAATGGTCTCAAACTAGGATGAACTGTGCTCCCTAAATAATGGTTTTCAAAAACTCTTTAGCCGGAGCATTCTTGAGATGAAATGTTAATTACAAAATAATACGTCCCTTTATGTTGTCGAAAATTAAAATATGACGTCACCCAGTCTGCAAAACATTATTCCTTAATCAGACGTTTTATAATATACTATTCAAAAACATGGAAATCAGTAATACTGAGTGTACTCGATTGCTCAAAAATATGCACAAGGTTCACAAGCAAGCATTTTGGTGGCGGTAACATAACTGTCAACTACATCTTAGTTATGCTTTACTGAATAACAGAATTTCTTTATCGTCACAACTGTGATAGTAAGTTAAAGCTATGGATGTGTTATCTTGTAGTTAAGCATACAAATTTTAATTAGGTTCGGCCATGCAGGTTGAATAAAGCAAATTAACTAACCTCTTGTTTAATTCTATAGGCCGCTACTTCTATTCCCAGAGATTAAGTAACGGCGAACTTGGAAATATTGTTGATTTATTCGAATTTTTTTTTTAACCTCAAAATGTAACTTCGCGTAAACTTTCTGTGGTTCGCAGGATTTCACTTACCATTAAAATATGTATACTTGTTTTATTAATCCCTTCGAAACTTACAAATTAATATGTATCTTCATAAATGTTCTACTACTCGTTGATAAAGATAGCCTAGCTCCTACATCTTTTAAGCGAACATTGAGATTACTATCTATTTATTCTATTATAGTCATTCTGCAACCCCAACGGTTAGACGCAAGTCGTTTATGCGGTCTTCTAGAACTCTGTAATGAATCATGGTAACACTTTCAATGTAAGCTTTATAAAATATCTGATCCGACACACAAAATCCCATAATTCAATTATCATCAAGTACAAGCTAATCACGCTTTATTTTGTAATGTCTTCCAGTTCAATGCTAGCAAACTGTCCAGTGGCCTTCGATAACCCCAGTATACACATAAAGCTTTGCCATATGAAAATTATGAAACATGCTTGCTCCTATATAATAAATGATTGAAAAAGCAGAGTTCATCACCCTTGACGTTTACTCTTTTGATCTGATTTAAAAGGAGACAATACTTAAATGTAGAAAAAAATTGTATTAAATCTTTGGGGAGATGCTTCAAAACATACCATGATGAAGTGGAGTAAGACATAACACCTGAATACATGTGAGCGGCTATTCTAGAAAACTAGGTATATCAATACGTCTGACCTCGAATGATTTTAGGGAACCAACAGTTTATTAAGTGTAACTCGTTTTGTTTGATTGAGATGAACAAGTTGGTAAAAATGATCCTCTAGGGTTTAGATGAGTTTGGTGATAAATTCAATGTGAGAATAATCTAGAAAGTAGCACTAACGTATGCTACTTCAGATGCGTAACAAATGTGGCTGACCCAAGCTATTTACTTTTGCTGTTATCATCTTCACTAGTTTTGTTCCTGACATCCAAACCCAACTGAAACAAGTCTAATAATTCGACTTGTGAGTCTTTCGTCAAACTGAAATATTCTATTCACATCACCTGTTTTGATACCTTAAAATCTTATTGTTGTTAATTAAGTGGAACATCGAAGTGTAAGTGACTTTGAAGGAAAATTCGTACTAGGATTCCTTACTATCTCTGAGCTAGGTTGGTGATGATAATTTACTTCTTGCAAATAAATGGATTCCTCAAATCACTTAAATATCCATGAAAATAAGCAAGATTGTTATCATCGATATGATTCCACAAGATTATGAATCGCATAACATTTGAAGACGAAATCATGACGTTACTTTTATTATAATGATATAACTATCTTAAATCATAATGACTACGACAAAATCTAGATAGGTAGAATTCCTTTAGTTTTTTCCGTGCAAATGTACGAATTAAAAGTATCGAGCCTTAACACGATGAGGATAATAATCTTTTATACATGGACTCATATATATAGAGAAATAGACACTAGATAAGAGAAACTTTTGGATTGATGTCCAGTTAATTATAACTAAAATTAACGCCAAGTTTCTAACATGTAGTATATTCGGTTCCATATAAATCACAGTAATTCCAATATCCGACAGCAGAAGTTTCCTCACGAATATATTAATGGTAATACTCCTAACTTCGACATTGACGGGTTCAAAACTCATGAAGTATCAGTTCACTCAAAACTGCCTATAGGCGCAGGGGATGGGTTCTAACTTGCACGAAAACTATCTTCAGAGTTTCCTATTAATCGCTTATAAACACCGAACGTGACTTATCGGTGTCTTTTTAAGCTCACAAACGATGAAACTCGTAAAGAACTTCTTGGATATGATAGAATAAATGATACCAAGTAAAATCGTTTAAAATATGGCTAGTAAAGAATTTTATATTGGATTTTTTATGTACAAACAATATTTAATCAGAGACAGTTCTGATTTATAATTCATTATTACATAAATATACCAAAACCACTGAGTAAAAACAAATTAACAATTTATAACACATGAACTCATACCTGATGATCGGCAGAAAAGTGATACGATACATGATTACTTTTCGTCAAATTCTTCTTACTTTTTTTAATCTCATATTTTTCCAGAAAAGAAAGACATAAAACTCAGTAAGGAAGGCAGTAGATAATGATAAGTTTATCGGCAGATAGCTGGAAGAGATAACGAATAATAAATATACAAGTCAAGAATACAATGTATACTGGTCTCTCTTGTTCAAAAATATCAAACATGAACGAATCAAAAGTACAGGAAGGTAAGGTATGATAAAACTGGATAGAAAATAACTGGATACATTTGAAAACAAAAGATTAATCTAAAAACACATACATGAGCTAAAACATATCTGATTATACATTATTAATAATAACAGTAGAAACAACAACCCATTTGCACTTATGTTCACAGTTTAACGGATTAAAATAAAATTGTTGAACTAACGAGACCTGGTTGATGACAGTAGCATACTAATTAGTAGGATGATAATCACAGTAGTTTTTTGACAGTAATTCTTTTCCCAATTATATACCAAGTCCCACAATCACATTTGTGATCTCATGATGAACGAACTTGAGATATACAAGCATAAAATAAAACGTTTTAAAATGAAAAGTAAACTAAGGTAACTAAGTATTGAAATGTGATTTAACTGAGTTCGAACAATTATAAACAACAATAATTATAATGATATACATTCTATCGGAGATACATAGGAAATTTCAGTAGAAAAGTATAATTAGGGTTACAAAGCGAAAGTTTACTATAAAAAAGTGACTAAAAGCAAAATAATCTTAATAATTAAGATTAATTAATAATGTAATACAATATATATGAAAGGATTTAAATGCAGTTTCAATATACATCGAGTTTTAATAAGTGGTCAGCTAACTAATCGGTGATAGCTAATACTATTTTACATTACAAAAGCTACCACATAAAAAAGATAATTTAATAAAGCCAGAGGATAAAGAAACTAGGAAAGTATTTATCACATTGCTGAATAACACCAGAAACTAGTCAACATACAGACTTTTAGTTTGTGTGAAATACTTCATTTCTGTGCATATGATACTGATACCCAAGATATTTAGGAGAGCTAACAAGAGTATAGGCAGATGAGAACTAGAGTTGAAATAGAAACAAGTAATCTGAATTACACATAAGTAATAATTAATCATTACGAAGAATCGCAGAAAGCAGTAGGTAAGTAAACAACTATAACAGTAATATCATCCCGATAATATCTAGCTAAAGAAGCTGGCATTGAAAAGTGTAAGGCTATTTGTTCGGAATTCATTTCTGTACCACCAAGTGCAGTTCGAATTAAACGACTAGCAGCAGTATCCCCAGAACCACAAGATGGATTCTGAAATAAAACAGATACCGCATAAATAAACATATGCTTAATTGAAGAGTAACAAAATGATAAAAAATCTAAAGCAAACAACAATTATGAAGTACTGGAACTTGTAGCCCAATTTATAGAAATAATGTCAGACATTAAAATCCAACTTTTGATACTGATCATCAGGGAGTAACGTCGACTTCCAGAAAATTTGCGCTTTTTTATGGTAACAAAAGCGTTGTGGTGACTTGAATTACTAATCACTACCAATTTTGACTAAACGATGAGGTCTTTATTGATTTTAATGTTGTTTGTTGATGACTACACACACTGCCCAATTATCTAAATAGAAGAAAAATCTTCAACAGTAAAGGGATTGAATGTTGAATCCATTAATCACTGGACCACAGCACTTTAACAAATGTTCTAAATTCAAAAACAGTATGAACTTCTGATGCTTGATAAAACAACTTAATGTTATACCATCCTCACAGATGAACTCACCAATCTGTGAAACGCATGAGGGCAAATACTTTCTCTATATGAACGCAATATTGTTGTACAAAACACAAAAAACTTACACCTCGATAATCATACCAATGACGAGCAACCACATGCACAGCCTCTGCTGGTGAAATCATATCCCACAAGCCATCTGTCCCCAAGATTAAGAAGTGATCACAAAGTGGAGAAAGAGGTTTCCACAAAACTTGAGGAGTAGCGACTAAATAGGGTGGACTGGCATAGAAACGTGGAGAGATAGGATAATTAGGGGGGAGATCCAATAAGCGTGCGATGTTCTTTAAATCATCTGTTGACCATTTAAAACGAATATCTCCAAATGCACGTAAAGGCATTAATTCACCTAAAAATGAAACAAAATGAAAGTTCGCAATATGCTCTCATATTTTTGTGTTGGAAATTACTCATACTATTTTAAGTAGTATGGAACGGTTACTTCAATTTTACGTCAACTAGATAAAATTGAAATTCATAGTGCGAAATTATTAGTGGTATCCGATCAACGGATATTGAGTATCTTGCGTAGATAGTTGTCTATAAATACCTTGATCTAACAATAGCTATGTATTTTACTCGTACTGTTTTAAGTTGTTTTTGATTATTTATGCAACAGCCAGGAATCATCCACAGTTTTGAGTTGCCAGATTATTGCCAACAGCTTTATAGAAGGTCCGCCAATTTATTAACATTTATTTTTGCCAACATTTACTTATTAGACTTTTCTCTCTCTCGTTACAAAATTTTCTTACTTCTTGAGGCGTACCGGCCAAAATTCTTATCTTGTCACAATATGTCCTGTTAAATTACCCATAACTACTTGATGTTGTTTAGTCAACGCGCCTCTCATTAAACTGCTACTATATGAGAATAAATGCTTGTACTGTCATACCACAGATATCTCTAATTCGTAATTTTTATACTTTTTGGTGTTTTCTATTTTGGAGTTTCATCATTCCACAATTCTGAAACTCTACTAAGATAATAGTCGTTTTGTTAACCTATTATGATAATAATAATTTATTCTCGAACAACAGTAATTTGTTCGAGATATGCCAGACTACAACCAAGATCAAAATGTCGCACATGACACAATATTTTTTTTACTGCAACGAGTTCCTCACTTGTGTCAATGTGTTGAAAAATATGCTCATAAAACGAACAATTAAGTATGTTTCAATGCATTAATAGCAAAACCATAGTGAACAATATGAGAGTTGGCGAGTTGTACGTTATACCATGTTAATCATATATTTACTGCGTACGTGATCAGTCAGTCGAAATAGATTATCATATGAAAGAATGAGCTGCAGCAAAATATATGAGAATTGAGGCAAGTGTCATTCTTGTAGGTACTATCAAGGTTTTACGTAAGGTCTCTTGCCAATAATTTAGAATACAACCAGAAAGTTTTAAAATCCGTTGAATTGTTACAAATTAGATCATTTAATTTCTCGGTGTGGGAGGAAAGCGGATGAGGGTGTGAGTTGATTTTTAGAAATCAAAATCTTTGACGATTTGAGTTTAACAAACGGATGCACCATACCTACTTGTGTATGCCAGTCACTCCTCGTGGAGCAGCATAGGCCACCCATCAGCATTCTCCATCCAGCTCCAACTGAGCAAACATTTCCCAGTTTTCTCCTCAGTTGGGACCTGCTTTGTTCTCTCCCAAAGTAGGCTGTTGTTAATCATATCCGACCAACGGATATTGAGTATCTTGCGTAGACAGTTGTCTATAAATACTTGTACTTTTCGATTATGATAGTTCTCCAAGTTTCAGCTCCGTACAATAGAATTATCTTGGCGTCCGTATTGAAGATTGTGACTTTGATATTGGTTGGCAGTTGTTTTGTGTCCCATATGTTGTTCAACTATACGAATGCTGTCCTTTCTTTAGCATTCCTTGCCTTTTAATCCGCATCAGATCCTCCTTGTTCATCGATGATGCTTCTCAGGTAGGTGAGTGTTTTTACTTCTTCCACAGTTTCCCCATCAAGTCTAATTCGACTGGTTTTCGCCGTGTTGTATTTGGAGATCTTACTTTTTCTCTTGTGTATGTTGAGGACTACTGATGCAGTGACTGTTGCTACACTGGTTCTATTGGTATGCATTCGCTTGTGTGTGTGATAGAAGAGCTAGGTCGTCTGGAAAGACCATATCGTCTAGTTGCATGCAAGCTGTCCATTGTATTCCGTGCTTCCCCCCAGGTGTAGAGGTCTTCATAATCCAGTCAACCACCAGAAGAAAAAGTAAAGGGGAAGAGTAATCAGCCTTGGCTGACTCCGATCCTCACTTGGAATGCGTCTGTCAGCTGTCCTTCAAGCACGATTTTTCAGTGTAACCCATCGTATGAATTCCGACTGATGGTAACGATTTCCCCTGGTACACCAGAATGTCGAAGAATTTCCTACAAGGTTCTCCTATCCACATTTTCAAAAGCCTCCTCATAGTCAAGGGAGTTGATGTGTATTGGTGAGTTCCACTCAATCGATTGTTCAACGATGAGCCGTAGTGTTACAATTTGTTCTGTGAACAATCGGTCCCTATAGAATCCAGTCTGTTGATCTCGAAGTTGGGTATCTACAGAGTCTTTCATCCAGTTCAGCAACATTCTGTAGAAAATTTTTCCTGGTCCTGATAGCAGTGTGATTCTTTTGCTCAGTTCTCCTTTCTTTGGTATTTTGAGGTCTCCTTCTTTTCAGTTTATCAGTGTCACTTGTTTCTTCGTGTATAGAGCGTGGAGCATGTTTACAGTTTGCGGAACGACATATATGGGGAGGTCTTTAGGTGCTGCCTTGGTATCCGGTGGAGCTGGTCTATTCAACAGTTACTCAAAGTACTCTACACATTTTCCCATCTGTTCTTGACTGGCTTCCCTGGCTTACTAGATTTCCTCACCAGTTTCATCGTTTTGTCATATAGCTGCCTCATATTTCCTTCTCTTTCAGCTTTTTCCGCTGTCGTTGCTAGCTCTTCCACGTGTTTCTGCTTGTCAGCACTAATGCTCCTCTTCACTTGATTGCTTGCTCCTGTGTATTCAGCCTTTAATTTTATCTTCTTATTCGGCAGTCGTTAATTGCCGTCTTCTTGTTCTTACTTTTGAATTTTTTACTAATGCAAATATGATCGATTTAGTTCTGCGTACTGTGATCCGGTGAGACCCATGTAACTTAGTGAATGCGTTTGTGTTGTAAAATGAGGCCGCCTATAATGACTGTAAATCATCAGCGTAGACGATCTATATCGAATGAATGGAGGCCTAATCGAGTTAGACGGGAATGGTGTGACGAACCAGCTAACGTCGAAGTCACATCTCATGGTCAGCACCTAACGTGGGTTACCCCATTGACGGATCAAAGTACTATAGCTGCTTTGAAGACTGTACAACACAAAGGACGTTATTACAGAAATATATTAGTTAAACTAGATACAAGCGAAAGTAAGTCTACCACCGCATGAGCCAGTCCATGAAGTACCACTAACTAAGGCGCACTGGACGAACTTGACCTTGACAAGGATCAATGATCGGTTCGATATTCAAAGACCCTACTGCCGGATGATTTGGCTAGGGCTTAGTGACATTTCACTGGCTCTACACCATCTTGTTGAATGCACATGAATTCGCGAATCTCTCACCATTATCGTTCCTTTCTCAAAGACAGTCCACGTCGTACCATGATATCTTCATATCTGCTGTTGTCCATCCTGGGAAGTTGTAGAGTAGCTGAAGATCAGTTGAACTGCTCCTTAAAGTGTCCCGCCCATCGTTCAGGACGTCTGGGCTAAAAGCAGATAAAACTGTCGTCTTTTCCTGAGATCGTCTCACTTACACTTGACTTCTTAGCATCAGTTTCTTTTACTAGTCCGAAAAGCATATCTGGTGTTACTTACAGCGGCTGCCTTTTCTATCGCTTTTACTTTCGTCGCCCACCTCTGCTCGTCGTCGTTCTTGTTCTGCCCTCGTACTTAGTGCTATACCTACACCAGCCAGTCCACGAGAACTAGTCATCAGGTCGCCAGATAAACGGAGGATGTGTTTTGTCAGCTCCCCGCCTTGGTGAGGTGCGGTCGAATGAATGATCACACTAAGATCCTGTATGCGTGTTTCGAAGACACAGCAAACATCAACGGTACGAGATTACAGGGTTTTAACCAAAGAGGCCTGCTGGTCGATTTGGCATAGGGTGTGTATGTTGAAGGCTCCAATGTGTAGTTCGGAGCGAGGTTTCAGTAGACCTGGGACAGTGTTTCGCTCACTAGAATCGTTGGCCACGGTTACACTTGGGGAAGAAGCCAAAAAAGGAAGTTATAGTTGAAAGTTGAGATGGGAAGAATAATAGGAATTGAAGAGGGAAATTGATTATGAATACAGCGGTCTTGAATGTTGTTAGAGATATGAGAGCGGCTTTAACATGCCGGTTGCCCACACCGAGGAAGTGTTCTTATAGTAGTACCTGAAAAGGAAATTGGGTTAGAGTTGGTCTTAATGACCTGATAGCATGAACACAGTGTCCAAGGGGCAACGGCTTGAGGCAAGTCACACACGACCTTTTTGTGCAATTTTCGTATTAGCTCCGTTGATACACTGGATAAGATTCAAGAAAGAGGAAAAAGAAGGCAGCAATCAATACCAGTCGAACAAGAGCAGAAAAAGCCAAGGCACAAGCTGAATACACAGAAGTAAACAAGCAGGTGAAGAGGAGCATCAGAACTGACAAACGTAAATATGTGGAAGATTTAGCAATGACGCTGGAAAAGGCCGCAAGAGAAGGAAACATTAGACAAACGGATGACATAACACAGTAACTCTCTGGAAATCACCGTAAACCAGAACGACCAGTGAAAAGCAAGAAAGGCAAGGTAATGACCAACATTGAAGAACAACGAAACAGGTGGGTAGAACACTTCAAAGAACTCTTGAATCGACCAGCCCCACTGAACCCACCCGACATCGAAGCAGCACCCACGGACCTCCCAATCAATGTTGACTCACCAACAATTGAAGAAATCAGCATGGCCATCAGACAAATCAAGAGTGGCAAAGCAGCAGGACCAGACAACATTCCAGCAGAGGCACTGAAAGCAGACGTAGCGGCAACTGCAAGGATACTCCACATTCTCTTGAATAAGATTTGGGATGAGGAACAAGTACCAACAGACTGGAAAGAAGGACTTCTGGTCAAAATACCGAAGAAAGGCGATCTCAACAACTGTGATAACTACAGGGGCATCACTCTTCTTTCAATACCGGGAAAAGTCTTCAACAGGGTATTGTTAAACAGGATGAAGGACTGCGTAGACGCCCAACATCGTGACCAACAGGCAGGATTCCGTAAGGATAGATCATGTACAGACCAAATCGCAACTCTACAGATCATTGTGTAACAATCAATTGAACGGAATTCATCACTCTAAATCAACTCGATTGACTAAAAGAAAGCATTTGATAGTGTGGACAGAACAACACTATGGAAGCTTCTTCGATACTACGGCGTGCCTCAGAAGATAGCCAATATCATACGGAATTCGTATGATGGATTAAACTGCAAAATTGTGCAAGGAAGACAGGTCACAGATTCATTCGAAGTAAAGACCGGTGTCAGACAAGGTTGCTTACTCTCACCCTTTCTCTTTCTCCTGGTGATCGACGGGATCAAGACAACTGTCAACCAACACCAAGGTCAGGATTTTCAATACAAATGTCAAGACAGTTCTACTGTACGGGGCGGATACCTGGAGAACTACGAAAGCCATCATCCAGAAAATACAAGTGTTTATTAACAGTTGTCTACGCAAAATACTTCAGATCCGTTGGCCGGACACTATTAGCAACAATCAACTGTGAGAGAGAGCAAACCAGATCTCAGCGGAGGAAGAAATCAGGAAGAAGCGCTGGAAGTGGATAGGACACACATTGAGGAAAGCACCTAACTGCGTCACAAGACAAGCCGTCACATGGAATCCTCAAGGCCAAAGGAAAAGAGGAAGACCAAAGAACTCATTACACCGGAAAATGGAGATAGACATGAGAAAAATGAACAAGAATCGGATGAAATTAGAAAAGAAGGCCCAGGACAGAGAGGGTTGGAGAATGCTGGTCGGCGGCCTATGCTCCATTAGGAGTAACAGGCGTAAGTAAGTCCGTACTTGTTGGAACCTTACCACCGGAGACGGAAATCCGTGGGATAAGGCGAGGTGTTTATTTTTAGGATCGACCTTTTCTAACTCCACCTCTCTTTAAGGGAAGGCAGCATCGCTGTTATGCTGGCTGTCTGAAGGCAGCACCTTACTGCCGTCACACCTCTGTACAGTCAGCAGTACGACTTCATCCTCAGACCTTGGGCTTACTGATTTTAGTCTTACCACCCTTCAACCTACCTGTCTGGCATGGTGGGACCTTGAGGAACGATGGTTCTAGCCAGTATAGCGCGACTAGCTCCTCACAATAGGCAAGCGCGACCACCACATCAAGGTAGCAGCAACGGTCAGGCTCTGTTCATTCAAGTTAATAAAATTATCAATAACCATACATTAGTAGTCAAACATTATTTAACATACAATTGTTTATATTTTGATAATGGGTAGGAAAAGTCTTGTTCAGCAGATCGATGTACTGTGTTTGGGAAACGTTCACTATTATGAAATCGTGTATAATTATTAGGAAACAGAGATATAAATAGAATAATATCCTTACCAAGAAGTCGATCATCTCGAATTATAAATTCAGCTTCATGGACAGGATGACTAGATTTAATTCTCCGAACATCTGCTCCATTTTCAGATATATGAGGAGGAATCAACAGCTTTGCTACCCAATGCTCTTTAGTATATTCCCCAGAGGTTTGAGTGTAGATGTCTATCGAAGATGGAATTGTAACTGGAACTTCACAAGGAGGTGAATAACTTCCAATTACAGCCCCACAATCACCTACCTACATCAAAATGAATAAATGCCAATTCTTAATACTTGTTATAATTACCTGGTATGTCAACTTTAGTTATTTAAAATAGCATATATAGTAGGTTTATTGAATATTTCTTTACTTAGAAATACCACGAATATTGAACATCCAATTATGAAAATAACAATGTTTATAAAGCAGTGCAGTACTATCTAAATGTTTTAACCACTTGGTTCCCAAATGTCGGGTGTCAATTTTGAACATATAATGTAATTTTGCTTGGACAGTCCTGTAATATCAGTAACCCTAAGTAAACAGTACGATCTAGTATATAAACCTGTACTTGGTAAGCTAGTTACATTTATTCACCAAGTAACCTAATAAAGATCGCTCAAAAGTTATTAAGTGAAAATTTCAGTACTTATCTGCAATGAAGAAGTTTGTTAACAGTTTAGACAGAAACAGGAAAATTACTCGCAACATAAAATCATAAAACAAGTGATTTGGGAAGAAGAATAATAGGAATTGAAGAGGGAAATTGATTATGAATACAGTGGTCTTGAGTGTTGTTAGAGGTATGAGAGCGGCTTCGTTATTCCACACATCAGATTCTATGCAGATAAAAAACGTAAGGGGGGTTCGATAAAGTTGAGGCCCCACACTATAAGGTAGGGAAGAAGCTTTCAAAAACAAACTTCCACAAACCGCCTGTGTTTTTTACGATTAAATCCTTTTCTCGCTTCTCAAGAATTGTCTTACACCTACTATCAACCCTTCTCCTATGGCATCATTTTTATCCCCCCATACACCACTATTATCAGCAATTTGACTTCATGGGATGTTATCTCATATCTCCTGAAACCGTACTCTAAACTACATCTCGGAAATTTTAATGTTTATACTTTGTGTCAAATAAGCTAACAAACATCCTTAGGTAGGACTACTCTAAAATCATGTGTTATCAATGTGTGCTGTCTCCGAAACACCAAGTGAGGTCATTCACTTAACCTCACCTAGTCAATATAGAGAATGGGCGCGACTTACCGGTTTTTGTATCTGATGGTTTAATTTATTTTTGTGGCCTTTGTGGTGTGTGTATAATATTAGGTTTACACACAAAACAAGCTCTTCCAGACCGGGTTCAAATAGATAGTCACTTGTGAGTTATCAATACTTACTTACTTACGCCTGTTACTCCTAATGGAGCATAGGCCGCCGACCAGCATTCTCCAACCCTCTCTGTCCTGGGCCTTCTTTTCTAATTTCATCCGATTCTTGTGTCCTATCCACTTCCAGGGCTTCTTCCTGATTTCTTCCTCCGCTGAGATCTGGTTTGCTCTCTCTCACAGTTGATTGTTGCTATTATTTATTTATTTATTTATTTATTTTAACACATAAATATTGGTACAAGAGAGCGCCAATATATATGCGCCACATGATTGTTGCTAATAGTGTCCGGCCAACGGATCTGAAGTATTTTGCGTAGACAACTGTTAATAAACACTTGTATTTTCTGGATGATGGCTTTCGTAGTTCTCCAGGTTTCCGCCCCGTACAGTAGAACTGTCTTGACATTTGTATTGAAAATCCTGACCTTGGTGTTGGTTGACAGTTGTTTTGAGTTCCAGATGTTCCTCAGTTGAAAATATGCTGCTTACTTTGCCAATCCGCGCCTTCACATCTGCATCAGATCCACCCTGTTCATCAATGGTGCTGCCTAAATATGTAAAGGTTTTTACATCTTCCAATTCTTCTCCGTCAATTGTGATTGGATTGTTGCATGTTGTGTTGCATCGTAAAACCTTGCTCTTCCCTTTGTGCATATTGAGACCTACTGCTGCTACACTGTTCGTCTTCTCCAGCATTTGTTGTTGCGTTTGGGATAGAAGGGCCAGATCATCTGCGAAGTCCAGATCGTCCAACTGCATCCTAGATGTCCATTGCATCCCGTGCTTCCCTTCAGATGTTAACGTCTTCATGATCCAGTCGATCACCAGGAGAAAGAGAAAGGGTGAGAGTAAGCAACCTTGTCTGACACCGGTCTTTACTTCGAATGAATCTGTGACCTGTCTTCCTTGCACAATTTTGCAGTTTAATCCATCATACGAATTCCGTATGATATTGGCTATCTTCTGAGGCACGCCGTAGTATCGAAGAAGCTTCCATAGTGTTGTTCTGTCCACACTATCAAATGCTTTCTTTTAGTCAATCGAGTTGATTTAGAGTGATGAATTCCGTTCAATTGATTGTTACACAATGATCTGTAGAGTTGCGATTTGGTCTGTACATGATCTATCCTTACGGAATCCTGCCTGTTGGTCACGATGTTGGGCGTCTACGCAGTCCTTCATCCTGTTTAACAATACCCTGTTGAAGACTTTTCCCGGTATTGAAAGAAGAGTGATGCCCCTGTAGTTATCACAGTTGTTGAGATCGCCTTTCTTCGGTATTTTGACCAGAAGTCCTTCTTTCCAGTCTGTTGGTACTTGTTCCTCATCCCAAATCTTATTCAAGAGAATGTGGAGTATCCTTGCAGTTGCCGCTACGTCTGCTTTCAGTGCCTCTGCTGGAATGTTGTCTGGTCCTGCTGCTTTGCCACTCTTGATTTGTCTGATGGCCATGCTGATTTCTTCAATTGTTGGTGAGTCAACATTGATTGGGAGGTCCGTGGGTGCTGCTTCGATGTTGGGTGGGTTCAGTGGGGCTGGTCGATTCAAGAGTTCTTTGAAGTGTTCTACCCACCTGTTTCGTTGTTCTTCAATGTTGGTCATTACCTTGCCTTTCTTGCTTTTCACTGGTCGTTCTGGTTTACGGTGATTTCCAGAGAGTTACTGTGTTATGTCATCCGTTTGTCTAATGTTTCCTTCTCTTGCGGCCTTTTCCAGCGTCATTGCTAAATCTTCCACATATTTACGTTTGTCAGTTCTGATGCTCCTCTTCACCTGCTTGTTTACTTCTGTGTATTCAGCTTGTGCCTTGGCTTTTTCTGCTCTTGTTCGACTGGTATTGATTGCTGCCTTCGTTTTCCTCTTTCTTGAGTCTTATCCAGTGTATTAACAGTGATTCATTCCTTGTGGTGGTGCTTCTTGTGACCCAGAACATCATGGCATGTTGAAGTGTTTGCTTCTTTGATCCCCTTCCAGTTGCTCTCCACAGTAGTTCCTTCTCCATTGAGTAGATCATGAAAGGCCTGGAACTTATTGCTGAGGACTATCTTGAATTTGTTGATTTTGTTAGTATCCTGAAGTAAGGCCGTATTGAACTTTTGTGATATTGTGCGCCCCATTGTCCAGTGCTTCTTGAGTTTCTATTTCATCTTGGCGACCAGCAAGTGATGATCTGATGCTATATCGGCTCCTCTCTTGGTTCTCACGTCCTCTATAGTACTCCTGAACGTTTTGTTGATGCAAATATGGTCGATTTGGTTTTGCGTGGTGTGATCCGGTGAAGTCCATGTGGTTTTGTGTATGCGTTTGTGTGGGAATATGGTGCCGCCTATGACCAGTTTATTGAAGGCACATAGGTTTGCAAATCTCTCACCATTTTCGTTTCTTTCTCCCAGTCCATGTCGTCCCATGATGTCTTCATATCCAGTGTTGTCCGTTCCAACCTTGGCATTGAAATGTCCTATCAGAATGGTCAGGTCCTTTGTTTGGCACTTTTCGACGATTGACTGCAGCCTATTGTAGAATTGGTCTTTAGCGTCTTCATTGTAGTCGTTGATAAGCGCATAGCATGGGATGACGTTCATTGTAATGTCCTCATTCTTTATTTTGAAGTAGGCTTTTATTATCCTTGGTCCATGAGATTCCCATCTTATAAGTTCATTTTATGCTTGTTTGGACAGCATCAATGCAACTCCTTGTGTATGTGGGGCATTTTCTTCTTCATGGCCGGAGTATAACAGAAGCTCTCCTGAAGTTAGTCGTTGTTGTCCAACTTGCGTCCAATATGTTTCACTGATCCCAAGTACCTCTAGGTTGTATCTTCTCATTTCTGCAGCAATTTGGAAGGCTCTCCCGGTGTCCAACACTGTACGAACATTCCATGTACCTAAATAAATGGTCGCTCTGGTTGTCAGAAGGGGCATCGGCCTCGTAACTTCCGAAGGAATTCGGCCTTCATCATGAGGCGTCATAGTTCTCCTAAATGAAGACCTTCTGACTCCCAGGGCAGAGTTTAAAAGGTTTGAATAACTTTTTCTGGTTAGCGTTTTTTTAGCGAGTTAGTTTTCTACGGGATGGGGACGCTAACCCCATGCCCAACCCTTCTCCTTTATCCGGGCTTGGGACCGGCAGTAGCCCCCGTAAGGACTCCAGGCGGAGTTGTGAGCTATCAATAAGAACTCACAAATAAACAGGGGCACAGGATGTAGCCTCTACTTACGGTCACACTGACTGCAGTTTCGATGAAGTAAATTATGTTTTACAGAGTATTTCCCGCTCTCCTACGAAAGATGGGGCAAGGTTTCACTCCCAGCCCAGAATACTCGAACGATGGGTGGAACACTGAAGAAACGTTTGATTGCATCTCAGATACCCTTCAGTTGCCTACCTTTACCAAGTAACCTGAATGGGTTGTCAAAATCAGCCCCCCCAGCTGAGCCAAGTACAGAAAACCATAGTTAACCTAAGGAGAGGGATAGCAGCGAGGGCCCTTATTGATTAATTAACTCCTGAGATCTTTAAGGATGTTGGTCCCGTTTTAACTATTGACTGCGATATTAGCAAGAGTTTAGGAACTGAACGTAATCCCGATTGACCTGTCTCAATTGTTGATTGCTTCAGTATATAAGAAAGAACAAAAATTCTCTCGTGATAACTAGACAGGAGTCAGTTCAACCTGTTTAATGTTTAGCTTCAATAATCATCCAATGTCTAAATAGTGTTCATGAGACTAGGTGCCGTTCTACTATATGAATGTAAAACGGCCATTAAGAGTAGAAGATATTGATATGTTACTAGTAAATTCAATCATATCTTTGAAGCATTACTCGTATATTTTGGGACCATTGGGTCAGTCAGTTAGTA